GGTACATGTGTGTGGTGATGGGTTGTAATTAGTATTTTGGTGGTGAACATGATGTAATCTATGCAGAAATAGAAGTACAATGATGTACACCTGAAACTTTTACACTGTTATAAACCAATGTTACTGCAATAAACAAAAAATTTAAAAAAAAAATTAAAAAAAATAGTAGTCAATAATACAACAAGTAGACACATGAGGTGTCACAAACTATGATCGGGAGACAGAATGTTAGGAGGTAACATTTTGTCAATAAAACACAGCTGCAGGAGTAACTTCTCTAAATCAAGCAGTTGGAGGCATCGTGGTTCTGAATGTTCATGGAGGACCAATGGGATTCCAGCCAATGACTGGACTACGAGGAAAGCATTCAGTCTTCGAAAAGCCAAAGAGAAGAAAATTTAGAGTATTCAGAGCACCACCACATTGGGTTAGTGCAGATCTTAGCAAGACTTTTCAGTACATAAGGAAACTAGGTCATGAGTGAAGTCAATATGGGAAAGGAGAAAGGAGGGAGAAGAAAACTTACCAGGACCTCACCTACATAACAGTAAGTCTCAATTCAGATGCTACTTACTGGAGAAGCTGAAAACTTAAATGTGTTATTTGTCTCCATGAAGACATTCTCTGTAAATGTACTATTCTGAGGCTATATGTAAGGAAAAGGTGGCAATGACTGCAACAACACTAGGCTGGAGAGGGAAGTACTAATATCAGGTCTCTGTACACTCAGTTCACTCTTAGCCCTTAAATTTAATACAGGTGCATCTGAAAGGACTAGTTGCTGAAGGTGATACAGAGAATTTTTTTTAACAGTTGTGTATCAATACAACTAAAGTGACAACAGATAAGAAAATAAAAAATTGATACATGCACCCCTGTGTTCATTGCAGCATTATTCACAATAGCCAAGACTTGGAAGCAACCTAAGTGCCCAACAAGGAACAAATGGATAAAGAAGATGTGGTATATATACACAATGGAATACTACTCAGCCATAAGAAACGATGAAATCCAGCCATTTGTGACAACATGGACGGACATTGAGGGTATTATGCAAAGTGAAATTAGTTAGATGGAGAAGGTCAAATACCGTATGAATTCCGTCATTAAGTAGTAGATAATAACAACAACAAACAAACACATAGAGACAGAGATTGGATTGGTAGTTACCAGAGGGGAAGTGGGGAGGGAGGAGGGCAAAAGGGATAATTCGGCACATGTTGGTGGTGATGGGTTGTAATTAGTATTTGGGTGGTGAACATGATGTAATCTATGCAGAAATAGAAGTACAATGATGTACACCTGAAATTTACACAGTGCTATAAACCAATGTTACCGCAATAAACAAAAAATTTAAAAAAAAATCAAGATCAGAAAAGTAAACTTAGACTAGAAACAACTCTGCAAGACAGGGGTAAGATCCATTGACCAAGAAATAATGAATAGAATATTTTGACTTGTATAAAATAGATTCCTTAAATAAAGCTATTTCCTGAAAAGGCTATATATCTTTAAAATGTATGATAAATTTCCATTAAATGCACTAGTATGAACACAAATATTCAACCACATGTTTTTTTTCTAATCAAATAATAAGTGTTACTTTTGAAAACTAATATTACTTTGAAGTGTCCATTAAATTCTTGGTATTTTCAGATTATCTTGATCCCATTCTCCCTTGTGTGGGGAGTGCAAGAGTACCTACACAATGCCTAGAGTCAAAGAAGATGACAAAAAATACCCTTGAGATTTAAAAAAAAAAAAAAAAACGTGATCCATTCTCTAATATTAATCCGGATACAGGTATCATGGAGGCGAAGCAAAATATAGCAAAAACGAAAAGAAATAAAACCTGGGGAGCACGAGGGAGAGATATAGGCCTAAGAATAATCTCCAATTTGATTTATCTAACTATAGTTAATAGAAATCACAATGAAATTGCAGAATGGTGTATTCATTTCTCATTCCAGGACATTTTTCCAACAGAACTATTCTTCCATAGTAATCATGTCATCTTTTCCTAACATCACTTCCTCATCTCTGAAGTTTTTCCTGATGGGAGTTCCAGGACTAGAAGCTTCCCATGCCTGGATCTCTATCCCCTTCTGCTGTCTCTACATAACGGCTCCCTCTGGGGGTGGTATAATCCTGTTTGTCATCATCATTGAGTCAAGTCTCCACAAATCTATGCACTATTTCCTCTCTATGCTCTCCACTGCCGACCTGGACTTGTGTATTTCGACACTAGTCACTATGCTGGGCATATTCTGGTTCACTGCAAGACAGATCATTTTCCATGCTTGTGTTGCTCAAACATTCTTCATTCAACTCTTTACTGTCATGGAGTCTTCAGTGCTCCTGGTGGATGGCCTTTGACCACTTCATTGCCATTTGTAACCCACTGAGATACACTACCATCTTGACTGATTCTAGAATCCTCAACATGTGGTTTGCCATCCTTGTCAGGAGCACAGTAATCCTAATGCCTCTGGTCCTGCTTCTTAGACATCTATGCTCCTGCCAAAGCCATGTGCTCCATCATTCTTACTGTTTCCATCCTGATATAATCCAGCTCTCATGTTCAGACAATAAGATCAACAGTGTTTTAGGACTTACTGCCCTCATTGTCACTGCAGAAGTGGACTCCATCTTTATTCCTCTCTCCAACACCCTGATTATTAAGACTATCTTAAGCATTGCTTCCCCACAGGAGCAACATAAGGCCTTTAGCATTTGTGTTGCCCACATAGGTGCCGTTGTCATCTTCTACATCCCTCTCATTAGCTTGTGCTTTGTCCACAGGTTTGGGCAAAAAGTACCTCCTTATGTACACAGTCTTATGGCCAATGTGTATTTGCTTATTCTGCCAGTGATGAATCCCATTATTTACAGTGGGAAAACAAAGCAGATCCAGAGGTCCATTAAAAAAGTCCTCTTTCCCAAGGGATCTGAGGTCTGACTCTGACACCTTTGCAATAAAATCTACTATTGAGTAGATCTACTCAAATATCCAAAATCTACTTGGAAGTATCACTTCCAAGACATTGGCCTTAATCAATATGATCTCTTCTATCAGTGAATCAAAATCAAAAAACCTAGGAGGTTCGGTTGGTGGGTGGGGGATGCAGTTTGGGGGAAATTTATTTTTTATTTTCAATAGAAAATATTATTAATCTATGCTTCAGCATTGTGTGATGAAATGTCCTAATATTATGGATATGTCAGTAAAGTTTTGAAAGCGTGAATAACAACGGTTCAAATGAACACTTTTCCCATTAGGTTAAGACTCCAAATTATACTTAAGATAATATCTCATATCTTTCTGTCCCATTTAGTTTTTTTAAAGTATACATAATAAAGAGTTATTAAGTTCTGTTTAAGCTTAGATTAAATTAGACCCTGTTATCTATTTTTTCTTTCATATAATTAATCCCCATTGATTCATTGTTTCATTTCCTGAGTGGCTCCTTTTGCCAGACACTGCAAAACATGATAGAGTGGCAGAAACAAATAAGATATTGTCATGATTAGTGAAATATGTATATTTCACAACTAATGAAAATCTAATGGACTATGTGATATCTTACAATATATAGATAGAAGCAAAAGAAGTAATAAGAATATATAAGAAGAGTGTTTAATACAACCTGAGAATATCGTGAAATCATCACAATGTGTTGTTTGAACTGTAAAGTCAAGAATTGGAGAGATCAACTTTCAGAATGGTAGCATGAGATCTGTGGACACTCTCTCCAGGAAAACAATCAAAAATAGTGAAAATTACATATAGATCTAGGTATACACATTAACATCCTTTGGATATTGCCCTAAGGGCATACAGCAAATGAAAAACCATTAATTCAAGAAAATCTATTATATTATTATAAGACCTAAAGAGTTATCAATATAAGAACAACAGGAGTCAGTGGCACTTGAATCACAGCCAGATTTTGCCATTCCCTTCCCCTTCAGCTCAGCCTATCAATAGCTCCTCCAGATTGGTATAGTCAAGAACAAAGTGTGCTGGACCTGTGGCTTAGCAGTTAAGTGCGCGCACTCTGCAACTGGTGGCCCAGGTTTGGATCCCAGGAGCGCACCAACGCACCGCTTCTCCGGCCATGCTGAGGCCACGTCCCACATACAGCAACTAGAAGGATGTGCAACTATGCCATACAACTATCTACTGGGGCTTTGGGGGAAAAAAAAAAAGGCGGAGGATTGGCAATAGATGTTAGCTCAGAGCCGGTCTTCCTCAGCAAAAAGAGGAGGATTAGCATGGATGTTAGCTCAGGGCTGATATTCCTCACAAAAATAAATACATGCATACATACATACATACATACATACATACATAAATAAATAATTACATAAAATTGTTTAAGAAAAAAAGAACACAGAGATTCCTTCCTCACCCTCCCACTCTAGCCCGATCCCCACCAGCTCTCAGTCTAAGGCTATGATATCTCCCCAAAAGGGCAGATCACAGTCTTGCTTACTCTCCCCAATCCCAGCTCCAATTATGGAAGCTAAATTCCAGGTGAATGCATTCAAGAGGTCAGTGGTTGTCTTCATCCACCCAGCCCCATTCATATGGCAGAGGCTCTATCCTAGGCGTGGCATTCAGAGAATACATGGGCTCCAATCACTCTGTCCCCAGCTCTATCATAAAGCAGAGGATTCATGATGAGAGATGTAAGAAGAAAAGACTATGTGCTATCTACAGTAGTGTCATGCATGTAAAACAGGTGTTTAACTCCAAGAGAAATGGGCCACAATAGAATTAAATTATAAATCAATAACAAAAATCTGGAAATCCACAAATATCTGAATATTGAACAATATGCTATTAAATAATCAATAGACCAACAAAGAAATCACAACGGGAATTAGAAAATACTTTGAGATTTGCTCATAGTTAATTCTTGTTGAAGTAACAGTCCAGAAATTTGATAGGGGTTCCAGCTAGAGTTACCGTGCCTGAACTGAACCTCTCACACTTTCTGCCATTAAGAGTTTTCAAACAGGAAAGCAGAGGAATAACAGCCAATAAAAATTAGAGAAAAATAGCTAAATGGGAAACAAATTACTGGCTCTATTGATATCTAGGCAAACACAAGACTCTCTGCCAAGGTGGGGCTTTCCTATAAAGGAGAAACATAATGTTTGGGTCTGGGTCTTCTCTTTTCCTAAGAAGCTATATTTTTCTCACTTCACCCAGAATCCTGAGGTAATCTGCATGACTGAGGGACAAGGAAGGCTAGGAGCACAGCAGCCAGGTAGTGGAAATCACAGAATGAATGCCTATCCTATGAACCACTTTGTGGAATTCATTAGGAAGTCTGCCGACAAGCTAGACTTGCTAGGCCTGTAAATCAATCTGCATTCATTACTCAACTGCTGACATTGTCAGGAATGACCAAACACCCCCAAGAGTCTAGGCCCTTGAACTTATTACCATAGGAAAACAGCAAGTACAAGAGGAAGAACACATGCACATAAGAACTCAACATTCACCCACAGTGACCTGGCCACTACCAAAATGGAGCCCACTTATATATATCAGGAGATAAGCCATTTCTTGGTGAAAAGCTAGTGAGTGGCTAGACAGAGACAGATTTGGGAGTGGATGTATCATTCTCCATATGGATCAATGTGCTGGTGTAGGTCAAGGGGGCCTGGAGACTGGGGTGCATATTTCTTCTCTCTTTGTTGTCACCTTAATTTTTCCGGTGAACACTGGCTTGCTTTCCTATCTACCCAACATACTGATAATCTATAGTCAATAACACGTGTCTCTCTAATCCCTAGTGCCTGAAACAACGTCTAAACTTTCCATTGATATGGATGATTTGGTTTATTTGCTTTGCACTTAATGTCCCTGTGGACCACTGACAACTTGAGTTACTGGCTAAAATCCTTCTGAATTTATACAGCATTGTCCTGTACTTAGAGATGGAGAGAGAGGGATTTCAGTTTTTCTCTGTCTATGGTCCCAGGGAGATTCACATTTTACCAATGTCCCCAAAGCTCAATCCCACTTTATTATAAAGTACACAGCTCCAGAACTGTAACCTGTTCTGTCTCTGCTGGTGAAGACAGAGAAGGCTCCTCTTCCCTCATGGAGCTGGTAAGACAGTAGAGGAAGGTGTTCATTGTGTTGACTTTGTGCTTTGCTTGTTACCTACTCATAAATATTCATATGGGCTTACCGAAAAGCCAGATAACATTAGGGTCCACTCTGACCTCAGGGATCTGTATAACACACAGATATATGACCCCTACTAGTTTATAGTTAAATGTTATAATGGTTTTTCTCTAATTGAATGGAAATCATAAAAACTGGAGTTTAAAAGGAACCATAGAACACTAGCATAAAGGGAATGGCAATGTGTATATTTATTACAAGGTATTTATTCTCAAGAGTTAAACTTTACCTAGTATTTTAAAAAGCTTGCTTGAGAAATATTAATATTATAATAACTAATATTGCTTTTATTTGATTGAAGTCAAAATTTATTTTAACAATACAAATATATTACTTTAAAATTATTTTTTAAAGTTTAATTGAATAAGAGTTTATAAAATTTATAACATTCCTGTGTGTACTGATTCAACTGCCTCTCCTATTCTCTGCAATGTCTCCTGAAAAACTCTACTATATGCTCAAACCAGCATCCATCAGTTCATACTCTTTGAACAGCAGTAAATATCCCCCTAATAATTCACAGGGAGAAAAGTAGGCATTAGTTAAAAAGGAAGGATATTCTGACATATGCTGTGATGTGGAGGACATTATGATAAATGAAATAAGCTAGTCACAAAAAAACAAATATTTCATGATTCCCCTTATACGAGATGTTTAGAGCAGTCAAAATCATATAAAGTAGGATGGTGGTTGACAGAGCCAGGGGAAATTGGGGAATGGGGAGTTAGTGTTTAATAGGTACAGAGTTTAAGTCTTACAAGATGAAAAGAGTTATAAAGATGGATGGTAGTGATGGTGGGATAAAATTATGAATATGTTTAATACCACTGAACTGTACACTTAAACGAGTAAGATGGTAAATTTTATATTCAGTGTGTTTGGCCACAATGAAAACAATGAAAAACAAAGCAAATAAGCACTCTTGATAATTCCCTTACATAACCCTCTACCAACATACCCATTTGCCACTTATCTCTAGTGTCAGTGGAAATGATGATCCTTATCTTTTTGAGGGCTAATTACTATCAAACTCTATATTCAATCACCTAGTTGTGTCTTCATTGGTTTCCTATTGTAAATCTACTCTCTGAGGTTGTTCACCCACACTGATGGGTTAAAATGGCACTAATACAATGATAACTTCTAAATGTATATCACTAGCAAAAATCTGGAGATTTTTGACTGAAAATTCAAAATTCAGACCCACATGGGCACTGCAAACCCATGGATATCTTTACATGCATTTTTCATAGTCATTTCATACACAACAAATTCGAAATTGAATGCATTGATTGTTCTTAAGTAATTTTCTTCACATAGCTATTATGATCTAATGATGTTTAAATTCTTTCAATATGGAAAACAATGATTATTAAAATTATAAAATTATATTGATACATTTTTCTTGAGTTTAAGAGTAAAAATGTTTAAATATACATACATATATGTGTGTATATATATAATAGAGTTTGATTTAGAATTTTCTCAAAGATACAGTACTTATCCATGACCTGAGATAACTTTCCTTACCAAAAGAAAATTTACCTAGATATTTTTGTGTAACAATTTAATCTATTATTTCTATAGGATGTGAGCATTGTGAGGACAAATGCTACAAATCCAGAACAATATAGACATCTTAAGAAACATGACATCTAAATTTCCAACCTTCTTGTTGACTGGGATTCCTGGACTAGAGTCTGCCCGTGCCTGGATCTCCATTCCTTTATGTTGTCTGTATGCCATTGCCCTCT